TAGACGGAAGCGACGCACATTTACACGCTGTTCGGTGTGTAGTGGCTTACCAAGCCAACCATAAATGCTTTGCCTTCTGTCATGGTTCCTCCACCAATGCTAAGGCGGGCGAGCTACAGGGCAGCCAAATCCGACTACTACACCCATGCACATGACAGCCTGCAATACACGCATTAGGCGAACTTGCGTTGACAGGTCGCACTTCTGACTCGCAGCTGTCTGCTCTCCAAAATCGCTTGCGGTGCTTTTGGACAACCTGCTTTCGGCAAGTACAAGCATGCTTAGAGCGCTTGCAGTGCGAGTAGCAGAAACAAATACTAGTTACTAAGCCATGGCAACAACAGATCAGAATCATACTGATGCTGGTCATCGTGATGAGGATGGTCACCGTTATGGTTGTGGTGATCGTCGACGCGGTAGTTCCTGTGATATTGTGCTGATAGGTTATTACTATGATGATGGGGATGGTCGAACTGGTGAAGATGATTATGAAGAAGAAGAAGATGATGATGCTGCTGCTGCTGCTGATGATGATGATGGCGGTGATCATGCTGACCCTTCTTCCGACGATAGTAGCGGTGGTGGCGACGGCGGTGGTAATGGCTAGGGTGGTGGCCGTGATAGTCATGATGATGAAGGACGTGAAGTTGATAATCATGGCGATGAGGAGGACGAAGGCGATGACGACCTCGAAGCCGACGAGGACGGCAGTGACGACGATGGCGACCAGGAACAGGAGAACGACAGTGGTGATGGTGATGATGCAGATAACCTTTCGGAGAGGCTTACCACCATGCCTTGAATGCTTCGACGAAGCATAAGGATCGATATCTTTCATGCCTAGCAGCTTGGCACACTATGGTGCTGCTGTTGGGTTACTTTCGTGGACTCCTGCACTATTCCTGAGAAAATCACAACAAACGCATCTCCATAAAGTAGCAGAGTATAGAACAGACTGGTAGCCACATACTTGTGGATGGGCCCTTAACAGGACTTGCCTCCTCAACTCGGCGGCTGCAATGCAGAAGCCGGCGGCAAGGCCGTCTCGAAGATGTTTTAGGCTTTGGCGGGGTTTAGGTCTTAACGGTTTGGGGTTTAGGGGTTTATGGTCTTGGGGTTCAGGGGTTGAGCGGTCTAGGATCTCCTGCATGAATCAGGCATAGTTTCGCTGTCTCAGCTTGGTGGTGCAAGAAAAAGAAGACGGTGAAGGGTCTCGGCGACGCTGTTCCTTTGCACGAACGCCGGGCCGGAGCGATCAGCGAGTCTGAGTTCTTGCACCGCCCAGAAGTTTGGACGCGTTCTAGATTCTAGAGGAAGGAGATGTGCATACAGCTTCCAGCCGATGTTCAGCTTCGTCCAGGCCGCCCGAGACGACATCGACGGTCATGCTTGGAAGCCTCCTGACGTGCTTTTCTTTTTTGTGTGTGCTCTTTTGTAGTATAGGTGCATAGTTGCGGCCGCTTGGTCAACGCAGGCCGCTAACCTGTAAAGGAGCTTGTACGAACCTACAGAAACCAATGCAATGCAGTCGATGCGGTATTGTAAACCACACTCTAGCTGCAATGTGCGGCGATGGTTCGCACCGATGATTGCCACTATGGGCATTTGGAAAGTATTTCAGGTGCTTTTCCCTTCATCCAGGCTCCCGCTCCAGGCAGACCCCATCGAGCCCGAGTGGTCTTGGATCTCATCCGCTGAGGTGCCTGAGCACATTGCAATTACTGATTTGCATTTGGCCGTCTGAGATGCAATCTCGCGAAGGACCGTGTGAAACTTCGAAGCATCCGTTGCCTTGGGTCCTTGCTCAACGAATCTATCACTTGTCGTCGCATCACGTTTACAAAGGCTAAGACGAGGATTGCAAACACAAACACCTCGTCTGCACAGGCCCGTCGAGAAGCGGCAGAGCGATTGATCAACAACCACGAGGTCCTCTGAGTCCACAGCACCACATTCTGACAGGGTCACATGTTGCCATTGCAGATGTCTGATACTGCCGGCTCTTGTCTGCAGAGTAGGTGCGAAGCTGTGGATACTCCATCGGGTTTGAGCAAGGTTTTGATTTCGTCAAAGTGCTCCAAGTTATGTGGACTTAGTTCATCTTGCCATGTCATATTGTATTGTACTGTACTTTAGTGTAGTATAGTATAGTATAGTATAGTAGAGCAGAGTGGAGTAGAGTGGAGTGGAGTAGAGCAGTAGTGTATAGTATAGTAGAGTAAAGTATGGACCCAACCTCGCCTTTTTCCCGCGGTGCAGGCTGTCGCTCGCTTTGCATCTCGCGCTCGGTCTGGACCTGGCCCTCCGACTGATGTTGGGTTTGGGATGAGGGTTTAGGGCCTAGAATTTAGGGCCGTTTAGGGTTAGGGTTAGGGGTGACTATGCCAAAGTCTGAGTCGTCTTTTTCTTTGAAGAGCCGCTCAAAGCAGCCGTGTTGGTGAAAAGGAGCGTCGTTGATTGCTCCCCACAGCTGGCAGCAGGCTAGGTGGCTGCCCCGTGGCCGTTCCGGTCCTTTCTGTAACTTTTGCTCGCCGGTTTTTTTGGGAGTGGGGTTGACTTGCTGAATTGGCAGAGAAACGTGGTGGCCATGATGCCGCTGATGCTCTCCTGTGGTGCCTTCTCTTGCAAACCAGTTGAGGACCCCCTTTCAAGCTTCGCCTTGATGCTAAGCAGACCGAGGATTTCCGCCTGCATGGGCAGAGCTTTCCGATCCCAACGACACTTTGGCCCAAATCGGTTCCTTTGCGCGTGGGTGTGGGGAAGCCCCGCCCTGTCGGATATCGGGATTCAGTGCAGGCAAAGCCAGCCGAGAAGTGGATCTCCACGATGGATGTGTCCAGACCTGAGAAGCAAAAGAGCTGCTTCCATAGTCCTCATGCATTGCTGGATGGCTACATTCTTGAGGTTCCTCCGCCACACCGTAGACATGTTATTGGCGGGCGATGCCGCTGCTGCTGATCGCCACTTGGCGAGAACTTGTGGCACGGCCCGTGTTGAAAGGCTCCGCGGGCTTGCTTTCTATGTTTTGCAATGCCTCTGCTTTCCGGGCATGCTTCCGCAAGGCGATGATGCTGATCCCCTCCGATCGGCATCGTGGGAGGCCAGGGTGCAGATCAGTGTACCTGCGAGCTTGCGTTTTGTAGCCGAGCTTTGTCGGAGCTCGTGGCTGCAGGCAGCTCAGAAGAGCATGCAATCCCTGAAGGGGGAAGACCGCAGCTTGACAAGGGCCTTTTCTGCATGATTAGGGCTAGGAATCGCCGAGCTGCAAGTCTGGACAGTCCCTCCTCCTCCCCCCCAATTGCTGACTGCTCGCACTATAGTAACTACCCGATTCTGCTGCAAAGCACTATTCCGAGATTATATACGTCAAGATTTTTTTGTAATTATGAAGAGGCCCTAGCATCCGTAGCTGCAGGTAGCGACCTTGCAGAATGCCTGCAATACCTGCAGCAACGAGTAGGCGGGGGAAGGGTTTCGGTTGCAACCCACAGCGCAGTTTGCGTTCCTCTCTTCGCACAGTTCGAGTAAAGTCTGGACCCCTAAAGATGACACCCAGATTTGGGACAACCCCCACCTTCCTTGCAGGAGTTCCGCGGGATATGTCTCTCAATGCAGCGAGGCGTTTGCGCGGTGAACTGGGGCCTCCAGGCAGTGTATGGCACCTCATGTTGCATCCGCTCCGTCATGAAGTTTCAGCATCTCTCAGTCGCCGTTACATCATCACATAAATCATCAGTTGCTGTTGTTGCCGTTGTGGCTGCTGTTGCCGCTGCTGCTGCTGCTGCTGTTGTTCGTCTTGTTCCTGTGCTTGTGCTTGTTCTTGTTACTGTTTTTATTGTTCTTCTTGTTCTTGTTCTTACTATTCTTCTTGTTCTTATTGTTGTTGTTGTTGTTGTCGTCGTTGTGCTTGTATTTTTTTCGTCGTTGTCGTCCTTGTCATTGTGCTTGTTGTCGTCCTCGTCGTTGCAATGATTGTGTTGTTGCTGCTGCTGCTTGCGTCGAAGCAATAACTGCAACCATGAAACGACGATGGTCCGTAAAAGAAAAAGAATGCAGTACCAACAATGCGATTTGCCATAGGCTCGTGCAAGCATATACCAGGCTGATGATGCTGAGCAGACCTGTCGGAAGACTAATGATGCTACTGCTTCTATCATTCGTCCTTACGGCCATCTGTTGTCGGGAGCCATGGCAACATTATCAAACTCTCGATGAACTAGAAAGCGCAATCGGAGCAAACTGCATGTTGAGTTTCATGCACCTCAGTCATGCTAGAAAACGGCAAGCATCGGAGGTTTATCGTTCTGGTTGTACGCCCCTGGCTCTGACTGGCATTGTAGCAGGTTGAAAGACTGACAACATCGTCAGTCGTGCCAATAGCCATCACAAGAAGACGGCATATGTTTATACTGCCAATAACACGGCGAGACGGAGAATGTTCAGAAGTTGAGGAAGAGTGTCGCAGGAACATCAGCAGGACACAAAGCGTGACAGTAGTCACTGTAGTCCCTTACACAATTGGACGATAGCGTACCCCAAAGCCCTGTTCTCAAGACCCACGCGCCCGAGCTGCAGCCGAGGAAATTGATCGCAGCGCTTTGACGACGCCCGCAGTGTATCAAAGGAGCAGATCCGACCATCTTCGGTTTGCGCGTCTTTTCAACCGGGGGTCTGCGGAGTTGGCTCTTGTCAGTGCGATCGTACATAAGCTGCAAGCCAGCCAGTTGTTGTAGGAAGAAAGTTTCTCTAATTGCCTTGGAAGCGGCAGCATAGCAGCAACAGCCGACTGCTCTTCTTTTGCCAGCTCCCGGCAATGTTCGGTTGATCTTTCGGCAGCATGCCGAAGCTCCGTTGGACTGGTCTTTGCACCATGCCGTGTGCTGCTGAAGTTTTCGATGAATTTTCGATGGCCTGTGCTTCACATCTTGCCATTCAGTTTTCATCATGTGTAGACAGAGCAGCTGGGCGGTGAAGCCACGATTGAGAAAAGTCAGCTGCGCATGGCAGTGTTCCGGCTCCCAGCCGGTTTCATCCTCCTGTCTCAACTTATAGAACTCAGAGTAACTAAGATTGGAAGGATTCTTTGATGCTAGGCTCATGGGTTCATTGATGCAAGACGAGATAATGGCCAGGTCGGCTTCTGTGCCCGGATACGAAGCCGTGGTTGGACGGCCGCTTGAGGCACGGTGGAAGTGCGCCTTCTCTTGTTGTCTCGTGATGCGTATACTGGACTGGAAACTGCAACTCTGAAACTTCGGATCGCGCTCAGACAACGGTGGGATGGCGAGACTGCAGTCTGCCCATGCCCCACTGCGCCGGTGCCGCCCTTCGTCCTTCCCCTGAAGACTTTTTTTGGTCCTGTGCCGTCTGAAACCGTCCATGTCCGTTGCTTTTCTGCTTCTGCCGTTTGTCTCGCCTGAGGCTTGAGTTGAGTCCGGCTTGTCGACTCGAGGTTTTCATGGGTGCTCGGCAGTCGCTTTGTTGAGAGCCTGACAGTCAGGCTCCTTTTTTCATCAGCTCCAGCCGTGGCTCGTGTCAGTTAGATTTGCTTGCAAGGTGGAGGTAAAGGCCTTCAGCGAGGAAGGTCGGGCGGTGAGCTTCATGGCCAAAGGCTGGCAGGCATCTGTGGGGGAAAGGGTAGACTTCTTCGCACTCTATTCTACTGTCTGTTATTGTATGATCCTGTACATGGTAGTAGTGTAATGCATAATGTAGTTTTGTACCGCACTTAACTCTCTCCCCCTCCCCCGCCTGCATGCCTCCCTCCCCTCCCTTGCCCTCCCCTCCCTCCCCTACCCTGCTCCATCTCTCTCTCTCTGCCACCCCCAGTCCGTGCACATGTTATGGACCAAGCGAACAAGCACACAAGCACACACGCACAAACCACATGCAATGTGCGTGCACACAGACACATACAAGAACGGGTGTCCGTCGGATAGGGCATTCATCGGGAACACCCTAATTTTGACCCAAACGCCACCTAAAAGTTCACCCTGACCCAGACCCAAACACAACCCACAAGTTCAACCATCGTTTTCGAGTGAATTTTGCATTTTTGTCTCGTCATATAGGAGCTGGTTCGAACATGTTTTTGGTGTGTCTGCTTGAGCTTCCCAAAAGCCACCAGCCGCATTGCCAGAGTTGTGCGAAGCTCCGATAGCTTCCTTCCGAAGCAATCCTCAGCTAGTTATTGGCCACATGTGCCCTTCTGAGCATAGCTTGGTGCGAAAGCTTTGTTCGTTGGTTAACTCACGAGTCCAGGCAAGGCAAATCCAGCATGCAGTTGACATGCTCAATGGTGTTCTCTACGTGGACCGCCCGAAGCTTAGTTGTGATACGGATTGGCGTGGGTGACTTTGTCCCTTCTGGTGACATTCAACGCATGTTTTCCGCTGTCCCAGAATCAGAAGAGACAGTACTGTCTGCTGTGCCAAGGTATGGAGACAAAGTCTTTCCGTCGAGACAAAGTTGAGGTGCCTATGTCCAGTCCGACGCCTCGCTCTCCTCTCCCTCCTCCCTCTCCATACTTTTGCTTGCATTGGCATTCTGCCTAGGAGGGGACTCAGTCGTGCCAGCGCGTCGCTTTGCCAGGAGGATCTACCTGAAGGAGTGCCATATGGAGTTCGAGCAGCGAAGGCTTTCATCCTAGGATGAAGTAGTTTTTTTCAAGCCCTTGTCGAATCTTCTTCAATGCCTACAGCACAGTCACGCGAACTCTTGTAAAGGATTATTAAGCCCTAAACCCAAAACCCTTAAACTCTGAACCCTAAGGTTTTCACATTTATGCATTGCTGACGGCAGGTACCGCGCTCAAGGCCGAAGTCGTCGACCGGCACCTCATGTGCAGGAAGCCGGATTTCGGGGTTCAGCGTTTGGGGTAGTAGGGTTTAGGGGATCGGTTTTAGACCTCATTGGGAAAGCATCTGCCTTCGAAGTATGGCATTGAAGCATGTGCTGTGCCGTTCTATTGAGCACGCAAGTCTGAGCAAGCAACATCTGTGCAGATCAGCACGTCGTAAGACGTAATAGTTGCGGCCGACTCCTGGCTAGCATGTTGCTTATCGCTTCTTGCTAGGATTGTAAGCAATTACTGGTGCCACTTGCACGGTTTTTAATTTGTACTCCTCCTGCGGGCCACCTCCGCCCGTGTGCTTCTTTGGCGCTGTGCGATTCTAAAGTCCATGTCTTCGTCTTGTCATGGTCTGTAGCCGGAGCAAGCTTAAGCTCAGGAGGCCTCGGTTGAGGCACGGTGGAGTTAAGCTGGTCTTCAAGATTTGTCAAGGTTGAGTTTTCAAACTTCGAAATAACATACTATTGTGTAATACAATATGATATACTCTAATGTACTCTGATATGCTAGAAAACAATACAAGCCAAGGCAAGCGGTCGGCTCGTGCTCGGAGATAGCGGAGATCACCTCCACGCAGCACACTTCCGACTGCATCCGGCGACCTTCAAAACAGCGGTCTGTGCATATAAATTGAATGATATAGTGTAATGCAATATAATATAGTTTCGCATAGTATCATTGTAATGCTTATCATTAGCCTTGTCTGTGATCTGGTGATACCCGTGCTTGAGTGTCGAAATCCCATCTGTGGGCCCCTGCGATTTCAGTAATCTATGGTTCGGCAAGGTCACGCATACTATATTGCATGATATTACCTTATTATCGTATGTTCTGTTTTGGTGTATTATGTTACTAGCCTTTGCTCTGGTAGGAGCGAAGGAGCTGGCCTCTTTGTTAGCTATAGTATATATGTAGTATGTTGACTGTCTATTAACTGCATATTGAACGTAATAAGACTTGTAAATATGGGGGTGGTTCGGGTTTGGGTGGGGGGGGGGGCGGCGGGTGGGGGGGGGGCAGGAGACGGTCGAAAGAAAGGATTCATTGCTGGATGGTTTTGTGGGCGTTGTTTTTGTTTAAGACCCTAACATTGACTGTACTTTATCAAGTATAACCCTAAACAGTCAGTAAGACCTAATTTTGTTGTACAACTGTTTAAGCCATAACTTGATCCTAAATAGTATGACCCTAACACTGACAAAGCCTTCTTCTCTAAGCCATAAGTTAACCCTGGCCTAACCCGCTATGCGACCATGCATGTCATCGTCGCATTGGACAAGCTGAAGATCCTTTTGCCTGTGCCGGGTGCCTCAGTGCTTTGTCTAGGTTTAGGGTGGTTTACCGTTTTGGTTTGGTGACTGCATTACCGAGCATACCGCAGCTTCGGCTGTAGTGCTCGGTCTACCAGGCCTTTGTGCCTGGTTACCAGCATACCGAGGCTTCGGCCTCGGTGCTGGTCAACTCACCAGCATACCGGCTGTTATTAGGTTGCAAATGTCTGAGGGCACATTGTCATTGTGTATGATTTCCTGTGGAGGTACTTGCCCACTCTTGTCATTGTGTATGTTTTCCTGGGGAGGTACGTGACTGGCAATTTCCACTACCATGCGGCCAGAAGGACATATCGAATGCTCGGGTATTTGAGGCTGGCTGTTATCAGGTTGCAAATGTCTGGGGGCACATTGTCATGGTGTATGTTTTCCTGTGGAGGTGCTTGCCCAACTTGACAGATTGAACTGATGCCAGCACTCTTGTCGGCTCCAATGACTACAACGAC